CCGCACCGGAGCTCGGCGCTGCGCGGGAGCGCGGGGCCGGGCGGCGGCGGGAGCGGCGCTGGCGAGCATCCCGCTCCCGAGCATCCCGCATCCCTCTGCTCCCCTCCGCGCCGGGCTGCGCGGGGCTCCGCGGCCAGCGGGGCGGCTCCCGTTTGTCCCCGGTCCCGCCCGGCGCTGCCACTTGTTGTGCGGAGCGGAGCGCGGCCAGCCCCGCACATCGCAGGGCAGGGCGGGCGGTGTTTGCGGGAGGGCGGCTGTGGCCGGGGGGGTGCGCGCATGTTTCGGGGTGTTTATTTTTCCGCGTGGGGGTGGCCCTGGGTGTGTGTCCCTCGTCCAGCCCTGGGTGTGTGCGCCCGCGGGGTGCGTGGGAGAAGTTGCGGGTGAGGCGGCTGGGAGCGGGGCTGTGCGTGAGGCAGAGCGGCGGGGAGCGGGGGGCTGGCGGGGGCCGTGGCGGGGTGTCCGCGTGGGGTGCGTGTCACCCCGGCGTGCGGGGACGCGAGTGGGGTGCGCGTGTCCGTGTGCGGAGCTGTGTGCGTGTGGCGGGGTGTGCGGGTGTGGGTGAGTGTGTCAGCGGGCTGGCTCTGAGTGTGTCGGCGGGCTCTGAGTGTGCCGCCGGGCTCTGAGTGTGTCAGCGGGCTCTGAGTGTGTCAGCGGGCTCTGAGTGTGTCAGCCGGCTCTGAGTGTGTCAGCGGGCTGTGCGTGCCTGCGCCGCGGAGGATCCCCGTTCCCCGGTACGCGCGGCTGAGCGCAAAGTCGGTGTCGGCGGAGCGGCTCCCGTGGTTTTTTTCACTGGTGTCTGCGTGCGTGTGTCCGTGTGTGTCCGTGTGTGTCCGTGTGTGTGTGTGCGTGTCTCTGAGCGTGTGCGCGGGGCTGGCGGAGCCGCCTGGGGGTGCGGGGGCTCCTCTCCCCTCCGTGCCCGCAGCCGGAGCCGGCGGCAGCCGGAGCCTCAGCCCGGGCAGCGCCGCGGGGACCGGGGAGCCTCGGCCGCGGCGGCCGGCAGAGGAGCCCGGCCTCCATCCTCCCTCCCAGCCGCAGCAGCCGCTCTCCCGGCGCTCTGCGAGGCCGGAGGGGACCCTGTCCCCCTTCCCCAAGGTCCTCCCGGCTGCATCCCCGGAGCGGAGCCGCTCCCGCTGTGCCCAGCTCCCAGCGGCCCTACCGGGGTGTTTCAGGCCCGCGGCATTTTTGTCTTCCCCCAGGGCCCCTCTCCAGCCGGGGTGGAGGGTGGGATGGTGGCGGGAGAGGGGGGGACAGGAGCCCGGAGTGGCTGTGGGGGACCCACGGGTGGGAGGCTGGGGGTGCCACTCCAGGGAGGCTCTGACAGGTCTCTGCCTCGCTGGCTGCCAGAGTTGGAAGGGATGTGGAGAAGGCAGCAAGAGAAGGGAGGGCCCTGGGCTCTGCCGGCTTTTCATCACAGCCCAGCTCCTCAGGAATGATTTTGGGGTGATGCTGTTGCCAGGCCAGTGGGGTTCCCCCTCACGGGGTGCTCTGGCTCTGGGCGCTCGGGCCCAGCCTGCAGAAACGCCGAGCAGCCGCAGTGGCAGCCGGAGCTGGAGCAAATCCTGGGACGTGCTACGGAATACCCAGGATTCAGCCCATCCGTGCTTCGGCGCAGGACTGACCATCGGTGGCCGTTTTCTCGGCTGACACGATCCCTGATCTCGGCGTGGAGCTGGGATGAGCTGTTTGCTGCTTGCTGGGATGTTGCTCCAGCTCCCGGTGTCGGAGCAGGGCTGGGGGGAGCGCGGGGGGGAGGATTAGCACTTGTGTGCTCAGTGCAGGGTTTGGACACACTTGTAAGCCGTGGCTCCGAGCCACGCAATCAGCCGTTGGGAGCAAGGAGAGGCTGGACTTTGGTGCCCATTCCCGAAGCGGTGCTGCCTCCCGTGGAACGGGGCCAGGAGGCTGTGGGAATCACAGGGAGCACAGGCTTGTTCAAGCAGTTGCTTAAATTCGCGGCGCTTTATAACCTCTCTCTCATTAAGGCTTGTTTTCTGTTGGTTTTTTTGTTGTTTTTTTTGGTGGGGATGGCTGAATTCTGTCGGATTTTGCATGCCACTGTCCTCCGAGAGCTTCCCAGTCATGCATTAAGCAGCGTGACTAACGCCTCTCTCATGTGGTTCAGTGTCTCTCACACTCTCCCCGTAGGGAGAATTGTGTGTGCGGAAGAATAGTTGTTTTGGGAGGGGTTTTTATTTTTAAGTGCTCTGTGCTTTGCCAGCAGGTTGGAAAAAGGTGCCTGGCACCAAAGAAGAAAGTGTGGGATGGTCCTTAGATCCCATGGGAAAATAGTCTGGTGCCTTGGACTGGCCCCTGGGAAGCCTGTGTCTCCTGCACAGACGTGCTTGTGGAGGCTTCCTCTTCCTCATCTTCCTCCTCCTCCTCACGCCCAGCTCTGAGCTCTCACGTCTGCGCTGTGTCATTTGCACCCCTGGGTGCCCGAGCAGGATTCCCGACCCTGCTGATTCCTTATCCTGCCGAGCCCAGGGCCCCTTGTGCCTTGCAGCACTGCCCCTCAGGCTCTCAGCCCCTCTCCTCCTCCCACCTCCCTGCTCTGCAGGCTTCCTTCCTTCACCTGCAGGAATGGGGCTTGGCTTCACACTCCAGCCTTGGTTTTGGAGCAGAAATCCTGGGTGCTGGGCACCTTAGGGTGACACCCTTCCTCCTCCAGGCTGGCACAGGGCTCCTGGCATTTCCAGCTGCTGGGCCCTCCCTCAGCTGTGCAAGGCATCAGTGCTGCCTCGAGACTTTCCCCTCTCCCTGCGATCTTTCACCTCACACCAAGGCTTAGCCAGGATGTGGCTACGTCACCAGCAGCCAGGGCCCAGCCCAGTGCAAACAGCCCAGTGCAAACAGCCCAGTAGCAGGCACGGCACCTCTCCCAGCCCGGGCATCCTCCAGGAGCCCTTTCCCAACAGCTGGAGCTGCCCATCTTCCCTGTCCTCACCCACAGCCATCCTCAGTGGGAGCGCAGGGCTGATGGAGCTCAGGGTAGGTTCAGCTTCCCCTGGAGGCAGCTGGATGTGGGGGGTCTGGTGTGAGCGCACCCCGGGGGTGTGGCAGACACGAGTGTGACCCAGGTGCCGGTGCCCCCGCACGGGTGACATCACACACATCCGCAGGCGGCGGTGCCGGGGGCATGCGCACACGCGGGCACACGCGTCGTGCGGGGCACACGCACGTGCAGGAGCGCGAGCTCGCACCTGGGGCACGGGCCCAGAGCGGGCAGAGATGTGCTGCTCACCCCGTGTGACACACCTGCGAGCCCTGCTAGGGCATGGGTGTGATGTGTGTGCCTTTTCCTGCGGGAGCCGTGCTCTGGGCGGGTGCACAGCCCTGGAATGCTCACAGTGCACACCCAGTACAGACGGACAGACAGACACACACACACACACCTGTGCACACACTGCCCACGCTGATGCAGAGATCTGTTATGGTTCTGCTCGGCTCCTGACCTCCTCCATCCTCAGCCTGGGCCAGGGATGGAAGAGGTCTTGCTCTCCTCATCCCTTCCTCCTGGAGTCACACATCCCAGAACCAATGTGGGCTGTTCTGCACGGCCTCAGCAGCTGGGAATGGCTCTGCTCTGCACAAAGGAAGTGGCAGGACAAGGGAGCAGAGGCAAGCTTGGCTTCAGGGCCACAGTCCCCTCTCCAGGCACCGAGATGTATTTTCCCTGCGGAGGCAGAACTCATCTCTTCCATGTCCCCACATTCAGAGGGGTGGAGGGACTGGGAGCTGTTGGCTTGTGGGAAGTGCCAAGGAGGACAGAGCAGGGTGTTCCACTTGCTGATGATCTGTACAATGCCAGGCTAACCAGGAACTGGGCGATTGCTGTGTGGCACCACGAAGGGGGATGGTGATGGGGCACTTGCCCATGGAGCATTTGCTTATCCTTGAGTGCAGAGTATGGAGAGATGGGAACGGCAAGAGCAGGGTGATGCTGTGGGGCCTTGGCAGATGTTTGTGGCTGTTCATTTTAGGGCATCCAATCCCTGGGTTTTTGGATGTCAGTGATCTGTGTTGAACCCCTTTATGCTCACAGCTCAGCAGAAGCCATGTGGGTGCTCCTGGACCCTGGAGGAGGAAAATGTGTTCTTAGAATGGAAATCAGGGAACCGGAAAGCTGGTGGCCGAGCACAGCACCTGACAGGGGCTTGGTGGCAGGCTTGATACAGGAGGGGACAGTCTGTGGTGCTGGCAGTGTGCCTGGCACGGCCTGGGCAGTGTGTGGGCACAGGGAAGAGGAGCCAGTGGCGGGGGCAGTGGTGCAGGGGTGTCTCTGCAATGCAGGGGGGCAGCGCTCCCGGCACCGCCGCTGCAGCAGCGGGGTGGGCACTGGCGCGGGGTGGGCACCCAGTGCGTGCCATGTCCCAGACTGGAGTGGGAGGGAACAGGAAGGAACAGTGTGTCTGCAGTGAGGAAGGGAACAGGAGCTGCTGGTGCAGGGTGTGGGGTTGCCTAGTGACTGTGCAGCGAGGGGGATGCTGTGCTGCCGTTGCAGTGTGCCGGGGCTGGGCACTGCCGGGGGCTGCCCGGGGGGTTCCTGCACTGCAGCGCAGCCCGGGCAGGGACCCGGTGTCCCTCCGCCTGCTTGGGGCACCGGGGCTGGCAGTGCTCCACAGGCAGTGCGGGAGGGACGGTGCTCAGGGCATCCCTGCAGTGCCGGGTGGGCGGTGCCTCAGTTCCTCGCAGTGCGAGGCTGGCAGTGCCACAGTGCTGGCAGTGCAGTGAGGGCAGTGCTGCTCTGTCCCTGCCACGGCCCTGCCCCGCAGCCCTGCAGTGCTGGAGGGGTGGCAGCCCTACATCTCCTCAGCACCCCATGGCCCTGCAGCGCCCTGCAGCCCCGCAGTGCTGGACGGGCGGCATCCCTGGATCGTGTTCCTGCAGTGCTGGATGGGCGGCAGTCCTGCATTCCTGCAGTGTCCTGTGTTCCCCAAGTGATGGCTGCTGCTGTTCCTGCAGTGCAGGCAGTGACGGATGGCAGGGAGATGTGGGCTGGCAGTGCCCTGTGTCCCTGCAGTGCTGGGTGCATGGCAGACCAGCATCCCTGCAGCGATCCATGGCTCTCCATCCCTGCATGGGTGGCAGCCCTGCATTCCTGCAGTGCCCTGTGTCCCTCATCCCTGCATCTGTGCAGTGTCCCACATCCCTGCAGTGCTGGATGGGTGTCAGCCCCACATCCCTGCAGTGCCAGGTGGGTGTCAGCCCCACATCCCCACAGAGCAGGCAGAGGTCCCCGTTTGGTGCTCCCGTTCCTGCAGTGCTGGCAGCTGTGTGCAGTGCCCTTGTGTCCCTGCTGTGCATGGCAGGCAGTGCCCCTGCACTGGTGGCACACAATGCTCCAGTGTTTGGGTGGTGAGAAGCTGTCTCAGAGTCTGGCCGGCTCCCATCGGGTTGTTGGCAGCAGGCTGCCTGCAGTCCACCCTGTTACTGTGCCTCGTTGGGTCTAATTACAGTTGGTGTGGTGACAAAGAGGGTGGACAGTGGCAGGAGTGGCTTCCTGCAAGTGACAGGGCTGAGGTTTCAATGACAGGGTTACTCACTCCAGCAGGGCGTTGCAGGAACCTTGCAAGCTGGGACGGGTCCTTCAGGGCACTGGAGGCTGCCAGGAGCCAGCCCCAGCAGCCCCTTCCCTTCGGGAGCCGTGCCAGGACCATGTGCAGTCCCACATGGCGCAGTGGGATAAGCCAGGGAAGTGGGCCGGTCCCTAACCTCTGGTGTCTGTGTCTCCTCCAGCTCCCCTGCAGCGCAGGATGAACCCGCTGGCGTCCTGCCTCGGCCTGTGGCTCCTCTGCCAGCTCCCAGCCCTGGCCTCGGGGACACGTGCCATCTACAAAGTGCAGGAGGAACAACCCCCCAACAGCCTCATAGGGAGCCTGGCCTCTGACTACGGCTTACCGGACATGGGGCACCTCTACAAGCTGGAAGTGGGGGCCCCGTACCTCCGTGTGGATGGCAAGACAGGGGACATCTACACCACAGAGACCTCCATCGACCGGGAGAACCTGCGGGAGTGCCAGCACCTCCTCCCTGGAGAGCCCTGCTTCCTGGAGTTCGAGGTGTCCATCACTAACCTGAACGCCAACAGCAGCCCGCGCCTGCTCGAGGGGCAGATCGAGGTGCTCGATATCAATGACAACACCCCCAACTTCGCCTCGCCCGTCCTCACCCTCTCCATCCCCGAAAACACCAACATCGGGACGCTCTTCTCCATCCCCCTGGCCATGGACCGGGACTCAGGCCCCAATGGCGTTGCCTCCTACGAGCTGATGGCTGGTCCGGAGGCGCAGGAGCTCTTTGGGCTGCAGGTGGCCGAGGACCAGGATGAGAAGCAGCCTCAGCTGATCGTCATGGGGAACCTGGACCGGGAGCAGTGGGACTCCTACGATCTGACCATCAAGGTGCAGGATGGGGGAAACCCCCCGCGGGCAAGCAGTGCCCTGCTCCGCATCACCATCCTGGACATGAACGACAACGCGCCCAAGTTCGAGAAGGCCCTGTACGAGGCAGAGCTCTCTGAAAACAGCCCAGTGGGGCACTCTGTCCTCCAGGTGAGTGCAGGGAACTCTTCTCCTCACCCTTTCCCCTCCCGCCTGGCTGCAGGGACAACCCAGGAGCATCGGCATAGTCGTGGTTCTTCCAGGGAGGAGGGAGGGTTGGATGGAGGAGCCCACAGTGTCACCTGGGGCCAGCGGGCAGGCAGGTCCCTGGCATGTCACATCTGCTTGAGCGAGGCTGGAAAGGATGTGCCGGAAGGTGCAGCCGGAGTGGGGCTGCAGGACAGAGATGAGGGCTGGCAGCAGCAGCGCTGCAGGGAACAGGGTTCTGGGTTACTGGGAGGGCTGGGACCTGAGGGCCACCGGGAGCCTGGCTTGGGGCCAGCGCGGTCCCAGTGCTGTCCGCACACAAGACACAGACCCTTTCATAAGTTGCATTCCCTTGGCCGCTCCGTGGAAACTCAGGAGGTGGAGACAGGGAGCATCCCTGCTGCCCGTGCGCGGGGCTGGCTCCGGAGGTGCCCTGCTGTCTACAGCGAGCGAGGGCTCTGCCTCGTCTCGGGCAGCGCTGCAAACTGGCCCGGAGAGCCCAGGGGGCTGGATCTTGGTGGATTTGGCTTGGAGGGGGCATTGAGATGATAGTAGTCGACATCTGTTTATCTGCAGCTGCCATCTTAATAAGCGGAGCGCGGCCAGCTCTCATCTGCCTGCTAATTCTGATGTGAATTTTTTAAGAATTCATTTTTCACTGTTTAAGAGAATGGGAGTTGGAAGCAGATAAGGGAGCTGCATGGCCGGGAGGAGAATGGGCTGAGACGCTGCTGCTGCCATTGCTCAGCTTTTATCTTTCAGGGGGAAAATGACTTCCGCCTGTTTTGTGAGTGGAGGTAAAAGGTGGAATTTACATTTAACAACTTTCGTTCGCCATCCAAATCTGCTGAGCAAGATAACGGCGGAGCAGCAAATGGTGCAGAGAAGAGGCTGCTCAGAGAGCCGATTAGGGAGGCAAATGTTAGACAAACCTCATCTTCTTTAGAAAGCAAATAATAGGCGTAGAGGCAGGTTTATGGGGATGCAGGGCTCCTGGCGGGCGGGCAGGGATGGACGGTGCTGTGCAGGGCTCAGACAGCCCCAATCCCTGCTTGGCTGCATCCCCAGATGCCGCGATGGAGCTGCTGCATCTCCGTTCCTGCAGCAGTGTTGCCTCCCTCCTCACCCTCACCTGAGCCAGGCAGCTGCTCCAGCTCCTCCTCGGGGGCACAGCTGGAGCTGTCCCTCCCTGCTGCTGGCTGGGTCTCAGCAGCACGGTTCCATGGTTCTGGAGTGCCTTCGTGCTGGAGCTGGCGGGAGGGGAGCGCAACCAACCGGCCCAGCCGGTTTCTCCGGAAGAGCGAGGCAAAGCCTCCGCGCCTGAGGGCGGCTCCCAGCTGCTCTGCCGGTCCCAGGCTCTTTGCCCCACAGTCCTTGGCCCCAGAAGAGGAAATCCTGGTTTTCCCCCCACAGCTGTCCCTAGGGAAGGCCACGGAGGGGCTGGCTCCACTGTGCCTTTATCCTGCTCACCAATTGTCCCTCTGTCCCCCAGGTGAAAGCCAACGATTCGGACCAGGGTTCCAATGCCGAGATCGACTACTCCTTCCACCAGGCCTCGGACATGGTGCGGCGGCTGCTGCGCCTGGACCGCGCCACAGGGCTCATCACCGTGCAGGGCCCCATCGACCGTGAGGACATTGGCACCCTCAAGTTCTCTGTCATGGCCAAGGACAAGGGCGCCAACCCCAAGAGCGCCCGCACGCAGGTGGTGGTCACCATCAAGGACATGAATGACAACGCACCCTCCATAGAGATTCGGGGCATAGGATTGGTCACCCACCAGGATGGCATGGCCAACATCTCGGAGGACGTGCCAGTAGAGACAGCAGTGGCTCTGGTGCAGGTGTCCGACCGAGATGAGGGTGAAAATGCAGTGGTGACCTGCGTGGTGGCCGGTGACGTCCCATTCCAGCTGCGCCAGGCCAGTGAGACAGGGAGTGACAGCAAGAAGAAATACTTCCTGCAGACCACCACGCCGCTGGACTATGAGTCGGTGAAGGAGTACACGATTGAGATTGTGGCCGTGGACTCAGGGAACCCGCCCCTCTCCAGCACCAACTCCTTGAAGGTGCAGGTGATGGACGTGAATGATAATGCCCCTGTCTTCAGCCAGAGCTTCACTGAGGTGGCCTTCCCTGAGAACAACGAGCCCGATGAGCTGGTCATGGAGGTGAGCGCCACTGATGCTGACAGTGGCTCCAACGCTAAGCTGGTTTATTCCCTGGTGACAGACCCCTCCTCCAAGGGCTCTTTCACCATTGACCCTGACTCCGGGGAGATCCGGGTGAAGGCGGTGCTGGACCGAGAGCAGCGAGAACGCTACGAGTTCTTGGTGGTGGCAGAAGATAAGGGTAGCCCCAGCAAGCAGGGCACAGCGTCCGTGGCCATCAACGTCATGGACAGGAATGACAACGACCCGAAGTTCATGCTGAGCGGCTACAACTTCTCAGTGATGGAGAACATGCCGCCCCTCAGCCCCGTGGGCATGGTGACGGTCATCGATGCTGACAAAGGAGAAAATGCCCGGATCCAGCTGTCAGTGGAGCAAGACAATGGGGATTTTGTCATCCAAAATGGCACTGGCACCATCCTCTCCAGCATCTCTTTCGACCGGGAGCAGCAGAGCACCTACACCTTCCGACTCAAGGCGGTGGATGGTGGGGATCCACCCAGGTCTGCCTATGTGGGGGTGACCATCAACGTCTTGGATGAGAATGACAATGCCCCCTTCATCACTTCCCCCTCCAATGCCACCTACAAGCACATCCTGCCCCACACCAGTCCCGGCCAGCAGGTGAGCAAGGTCAAGGCAGAGGACATCGACTCAGGCATCAATGCCGAGCTGATCTACAGCATCACAGGAGGAAACCCCTTTGAGCTCTTCCAGATCTCCCCGCAGAGCGGAGACATCACCCTGGAGAAGGAGATCCTGCGCAAGCACCATGGCCTGCACCGCCTGGTTGTGCGTGTCAACGACAAGGGCAAGCCCTCGCGGCACGGCACGGCTCTGGTGCACTTCTACGTCAACGAGACGCTGGCCAACCGCACGCTGCTGGACACGCTGGTGGGGCACAGCCTGGACACCCCGCTGGACATCGACATCGCCGGTGACCCTGAGTACGAGCGCAGCAAACAGCGGAGCAACATCCTCTTCGGAGTCATCGCCGGCATCGTGGCCGTCACCCTGGTCATCGTGCTGGTGGTCCTGGTGCGCTACTGCCGGCAGCGTGAGGCCAAGAGTGGCTACCAGGCAGGCAAGAAGGAGACCAAGGACCTGTATGCACCCAAGCAGGCCAGCAAGAGCGGGAAGAGCAAGAGCAAAGTGAAGAAGAGCAAGTCTCCCAAACCGCCCAAGCCCACAGAGGATGAGGAGGAGACAGGGCTGCAGAAATCGCTCAAGTTCAACCTCATGAATGACTCCGTCAGTGACAGCCCCCGGATCCACCTGCCCCTGAACTACCCTCCGGGCAGCCCAGACCTGGGCCGCCACTACCGCTCCAACTCACCGCTGCCCTCCATCCAGCTGCAGCCTCAGTCACCCTCCGCCTCCAAGAAGCACCAAGTGGTGCAGGACCTGCCGGCCACCAACACCTTTGTTGGCACCGGGGACAACAACTCGACGGGCTCCGAGCAATACTCGGACTACAGCTACCGCACCAATCCCCAGAAATACACCAACAAGCAGGTAGGAGAGCTCATCCTGAGGCCGGCAGCGGCCCCCCCACTGCACCGGGGAGCCATCTGGACAGAGGTGTGGGAGTGAGCATGGACTGGCCCCCAGCCCTGCATGTGTGGCCCAGGGGGCTGGCGTTGGACTACCCCGGAGCCGAGCCACAGAGCCTGGGCGTGGTGCAGGGAGGGGATGGGGACGGTGTGGGGGGAGGCCAAAAACTGTCCGAGCCCTTGTCAGAGCGCCCGGGGCTGGGTCCTGGTGGCGCTGCCTGGGTGACGGTGACGCGAAGGGCGCTGCATGTGTGTGGCTCTGCATGTGGGGCTCCAGGCAGGGAACGCCACCCGCCTGCATCCCCTTTGGGGACCACTCTAAGAGCACTGAGGGGGGCCATGCCCACCTTCCCATCCCTCCCTCTGCTTGGGCTGGCTCATGGGGAGGAGGGACTGGTCCTGCTCCTGCCACAGCTGGGTTCCAGCCCTGCCCTGCTCCAGGGCGCAGTTGGGAAGGCTCTGGCCTCACTGTTGCGAGCCCGGCTCTGCTGGTGCGGCTGAACCTGCCACCATCCCTGCACCAGGGCGCCTCAGAGGGAGCTGTGCGCCCGCTGCGGCTGCCCGGGCAGGTGGAGCTGGGTGGAGGAGCAGAGCTCTGTCTTTTTCCCAGGCTCAGGCTTTGGCTTCCCCCAGGCTCGGGCCCTCTGCCACAGCCGATGCGGTGAAATCCGGGCTTCCCTTAGCATGAGCACTGGGCCTGCAGCTGTGGCTCTGCGGGAGAGGCTCCGCAGATCCTGGTGGCACAGAATGGCCTGTCCATGTGGCAGGGCTGGGGCTGTGCTGGGGGCTGGAGGAGAGGGGCACTGGGGTGTCTGCTGCGGTTGGGTCACTGCTCTTGGTGTCACCGGGGGGGTCTCTGCGTGTGGGGCAGGGCGGAGGTAGGTCTTGGCTGCTCGCTGGTGTGCACTGGAGCTTGGAGCTGAGCCGTGAGGCCGTGGGCTGAGTGCGGAGCTTGCAGGACCCTCTATCTTGGGCTGTCTGGCCACTTAGGAGCTTGCACCACATTTCTGCTTTGGCACTTCTATCCTTAACCAGCCAGGGAGGGAGAGGGGGAGTGAGTGCCTGTGGCTTTGTCTTCTTCCTGGGGCCCCGTGGGTGAGGACCACCCACTCCCACCCATGCTGTAGCCCCTGTGCCCCATGAGACCCCTGCCTCCTTCTTTGTACCCCAGTTAGCGGCAGGCTGGGCTCCTGCCGTGGGGCTGAGCTCAACTGCCCTGTTGGATTTGACTTCAATAAAGTTTTCTATTTTTGACCGGTTGTGCCTTATTTTCCCTGCTGGCCCTGAGGAGGCTCTCACTCCCAGCAATTCCCCAGGCCTATTTTCCATGCCCTTGGCCACTGGAGCACTCAGGCCCTGTGGAGGCCAGAAGTGATGCTCACATGGGCCGGCCATCTCCACAAACCTTCCCCCACACCCCAATGTGGTCAGTCCAGAGGCCTCATGGTGCTGACCCTTCATCCCCAGGCTGACACGTCCCATGCCCAGTCACTTCCTGGCCCTCTGAAGATGTTCCTGCAGGACAGGGTTCCCAACACCTGCGCGCACACACACACACACACACACACACACACACACACACACACACAGAGACACACACAGAGGTGTGGATGTGGACACAATCTGAGCCACGGCCCAGCCCGCCCAGCTTTCGTTTCATTTCACACCAACATCCTCACTCAAAGTTTCTGGTTGATGCCCACATCCTCTTGAGCCACACCCACGTCCCACAGCCAGAGTGTGGCCGAGCAGATCCCTGTGCCTGGCTAGCCTGACCCAAATCCCGCTGGCGCAGGCTGGCAGCCGCCGGCTCCCGCCCGCCGCAGTGCTGCAATGAGGGCACACGCGGTTGCAGATGGAGCCTTGGCATGTCAGCAGCGCCCGGATCCCGGTGCTCCCCCACCCTGGGAGGTGATGGGAAGGAGAGATCCTCTCAGGAAGGCTTGCTGGAGTCGGGTGGTCCTGCTCCCCACGCAGATGGCTCTGCCCTGTATGGGATCTCCTGGCAGGATGGATGGGGGTGATGCCAATGCCATGGGGCTCGCTCAGGGTCTTGTCTCCAGCTGTTTGGAGAAAAGATGGATCCTGGTAGGCAGGAACAGTCCAACAGCCCTCTCCCACCATCCCACTATCCTGTCTCAGGGGCCCCCTCCCTGGCCACCCGTTCCTGTTTCTCCTGGTTTTTCTTCCAAACTAGGGCATCCATCCCTGCTCCTGTCACACCAGTTCACCTCTTCCCCAGGGCCTCCTGTGGCCTCACCAGGCTGCCGGGGCCAAGGAGCTCTGACGCTGGGAGATTAGATCAGCCAGGGAAACCAGTGGTTCTGGCTTCGGTGGTTTGAGCCCTGTGCCAGCCTTGGCTCTCACAGCCTCCTCGTTTGTTTTGCTAACAGCATAAGGTTTTATCTTGAACCATCCAGGAAGTGTCTGGGCCTCCTGGGCAGGCAGGGCTGGGACCCGCGGGGAGATGTGATGGCTGCAGAGGAGGAAAGGAGACACCAGCAACCACCTCAATAACTGCTCCCCGCAGGGCTGGGCAGGTCAGTCTGGGGGCTTGGCTCAGCCCTGCTATCTGCTTCCCTTTGGGAACTTTCTGAGAGAAGTTTCCCTTCCTTCCTTGTCCTCGTCAGCTCTTTGATGAACCTGGGGTGAGAACTCAGCTCTGGCGTGGGGAGCGGCTCTTTCTTCTGCCTGGCTCCCAGGCTCCATCCTTTTTTACCGGGAGGGGATAGTCCACATCCTTTCCCAAGAAGTGCCCCGGGTCCTTACAGCCCCCCACCACCCGGGAAGGCGGCTGGAGCAGTGTGAACGTGAGCGAGCTCAGCAGAGGTTCCTGCACCTGCCCGCGGGCTTGGAGCGCGGTGCAGCATTAATTACTCTCTGCGGGAGGGGAGGAGAGGAATATTGTAGCTGTAATGGACAGAAATGAAATCGTCTTGTTTGAGAATTTAGCTCAGAGTCTCCATAAATTGCAGGTTTAGGTGCTGGCAGATGTCTGGGAAAGTCTCCCACTGTCCTGGGTCAGTGGGTTTTCTCAAGGTCGTTCACGTGGAATGAGCTGATAAATGGATCCAGCAAGGAGCTGCAGATGGAGCTGAGGGTTCATGGGGGACCTGCCCTGCTTTTCCCCAGTTTCAGAGACACGCTGTGCTGGGAGCTGTTCCCCCGCACTGCGAATCAGCCCCTGCTCCTGCGATCGACTGAGCTTGGGTCCGATTTGGCTCCGCCAGGCTGAGATTGAGTGAGAGAGGTGTTGAGGGGCTGCAGATCCCTGGGTCTGCTGGGAAGAGCGGCTGTGTCAAAGCACAGCAGCTTGTGAGCATCACTGGGGTGCCTGGGGGCGCCGGGAGAGCACAGGACAGGGTGGGGAGTGGGTCGTGCACTGTGCTGGGGCATTGCTGAGGATGCTGAGGGCACCACGGGCAAGGCAGGAAGGTGCGGTGGCTCCTGGCTGGGGACTGGGGTTGATGGCAGGGAGTGAGAGCGCCGAGGGGTACCTGGGACCTCAAAATGAGGAGCTTCAGCTGCGGAAGAAGAGCAACCCCCTGGTACAGGCTGGCTGTGCAGCCAGAGGAAGCGTGGGTGTGCGCAGGCTGTGCTGCAGGGGGAGGTGACAGCGCCAGCACCCTGTGCAGGTGGCACGGAGGTGTCACCCTGTGACATGGGGTGGCAGGAACACGTGTACAGGCTGCGTGTCAGGGGTAGGGGATGTAGGGTTGCAGCTGGAATCTCCCCCGGGGGGAAGGTGGCACGGGGCAGGGTACAGCCCCCATCCCCAAGGAGGAGGCAGTGGGGACTGTGCAGCCTGGACTGCGGCAGGAGGTGGCACAGGGGGTGCACAGCCTCAGGGAGAGGGGTTCAGGGCTGTGCACAGGCTGTGCTGTGGGGAGGGTGGCAGTGGGACAGACACAGTGACAGCAGGTGACAGCAGGGTGGGCAGCCTTGGCCAGGTGACAGCTTTGTAGGCAGTGTCTGCAAGGAGATAATGGCACTTACTGTCCCTAAACCATCGAGGAGGTCACTGGGTCTCTCCTGCCTGCCAGTCCCGGGCCCCACCAGCGCTGGGGACCTCGTCCTTTCTCCCTTGAAGGCTCACCCAGCCTGTGCTCCATGCCTGGGGCTGTCCAGTTCCAGCACTGCCCAGCTCCCATATTGCCATTCCTCCCTGCCCTCCTCTTCCTCTCCCTTCTCCCAGCCTCAGCCTCTCCCCTGCCTGATGCCCTTGGAGCCAGCATTGGCCTTTCCTGGCCTGGATCTGGGGAACTCCTCCTTTCCCCCCCCTGCACAAATCTTCCACTTCTTTCACAACTGTGTCTGCTCCTCTCCACCCTCTCTCCTGATCTCTCCCTTCTCCCTGGCTTTCCCCAGTCCCTCCTGACTGTGCTGGCCCCAGTACAGAGGGATGCTGAGCCCTCCCAGCGCAGGGCTGAGCCCCTGGCTGGCTCTGCCGGCCGAGCTGTGGATCCTGGGGGATGAAAGCCCTGGCTGTGTGTGAAGCCGCCCGCTCCAAGGCTCCCTGATTGATATTCCCAGCACTGCTCTGCCCGCTCGGCCGGGCTCTCAGCTGCAGTGCTGTTCCCTGGAGCGGGGCCCAGCCCTGCAGGCTGCTTCACCCGGCACCCAAATCCTGGGGAAGAACCTGGGGCTGTGGCAGGGAGTGTCCCCGAGGTCCCTGCGTGTCCCCGAGGTCCCTGCGTGTCCCCAGGCACTCGGAGGCCCCTCAGCCCACAGAGCACCCAGAGGCTGTGGGTGGGGTGAAGCACAGAGGGTGGGATGCAGCTGGAGGGGGTGGAGGGTGGGGTGAGGACAGAGCTGGGATGTTCTGGGATGTTCTGGGATGGGATGGAAGGAGGTTGGGGTAATAAGAGGGTGCAGGATGTAGGACAGGCTGATGTGGAGGGAGGAAGGGCTAAGGAATGCCTGGAGCAAAGGGCACGGAGTGGCTGGAATTGTGTCAGACTT